AATGAAACAAAAGGCAGGTATATAAGTGTTGTGGGACCTGGGCCAAGAGGATCTTGAGTTCAAGGTTATATGGTAAGACTGTGTTTCAAAAATGAAAAACCAAGCAGAGATGGCTCAGTAGGTGCAAGCCTGACAGCTTAAATTCAATTCCAGGAACCCATGGTAGAAAGCTGTCTTCTGACCTCCTCATGCACACTGTGGTACATGCAAGCCTTCACACACACACACACACACACACACACATAATTAATAATAATAATGAAAATAAAAAGATATAGCCAGGTGTGCTGGCGCACACCTTTAATCCCAACACTTGGGAGGCAGAGGCAGGCGGATCTCTGTGAGTTCCAGGCCAGCCTGATCTACATAGTGAGTTCTAGGACAGCTGGGGCTACAGAGAGACCCCGTCTCAAAAAGACAAAAAAGAAACTAAAAAGATACAACTCTCCGGCTCCACATCTTCTTGGTTTTACTGTTGTTTTGGCTACTGGCCCCTGGGGATTCCCCTTGCTTTCAAAAGGAAGCCTTAGGTTTTGTTTTAAGAAAACAAAAGCCTTGTAGTTCATTTCTGTTTTTTGAAAACCTACAGACCTGGTTCTCCTCTTGGAGGAAGACAAAATACTGACCAACAAACTACAAACTGTGGGAACTGGAGAGCTGGCTCAGCAGTTAAGAGCATTTAGTACTTTTAGCAGGATATGGTGGCACACGCCCTTAATCCCAGATACTCTGGAGGCAGAAGTGGATCTCTCTGAGTTGGAGGCCAGCTTAGTCTACATATTGAGTTCCGGGCCAACCAGGGCTACAGAGTGAGAGCCTGACTCAAAAAAAAAAAAAAAAAAAAGCCCACAATAATAATAATAAAATCTTTAATAGTAATATTAATTAATTTTTTAGCATATGACTATACACAGAGGTAAATGTGTCAATAGTGTCAGCTCTCATCAGGCAAGGCCATCCCTGTGCCAATTCAGACTTTTCTCCTTGTCTACAGCAAAGCCTCGTGGACCAGCCTTGTGGAAGCCAAGGCCAGCCCCATGGAGAGATGCAGAGCAATGGAGGCAGCCAATGGCTCTGAGGGTAGTTTGGATTTCAACCCTATGAAGGATTACATGATCCTCAGCAGTACCCAGAAGATCGCTGTGGCGGTGCTGTGCACTGTGCTGGGCCTGCTAAGTGCCCTGGAGAACATGGTCGTGCTCTTTCTGATCCTGTCCTCCCACCGGCTCCGCCGGAAGCCCTCGTACCTGTTCATTGGCAGCTTGGCTGGAGCAGACCTCCTGGCCAGCGTGATCTTTGCCTGCAACTTCATCATTTTCCATGTCTTTGGTGACGTGGATTCCAAGGCTGTCTTCTTACTGAAGATTGGCAGTGTAACCATGACCTTCACAGCCTCTGTGGGCAGCCTGCTGCTGACCGCAGTTGACCGCTACCTCTGTCTGTGCTACCCACCTACATATAAAGCTCTACTCACCCGTGAGAGGGCCCTCGTGGCCCTCTGTGTCATGTGGATCCTGTCAGCATTGATCTCATATCTGCCTCTTATGGGATGGACTTGCTGTCCCAGTCCCTGCTCTGAGCTTTTCCCATTAATCCCTAATGACTATCTGCTGGGCTGGCTCCTGCTCATTGCCATCCTCTTCTCTGGCATCATCTATACCTATGGGTATGTCCTCTGGAAAGCCCATCAGCATGTAGCCAGCTTGGCAGAGCACCAGGACAGGCAGATGCCTGGGATGGCTCCGATGCGGCTGGACGTGAGGTTAGCCAAGACCCTGGGCCTGGTGCTGGCTGTGTTGCTCATATGTTGGTTCCCTGTACTGGTCCTTATGGGTCACAGTCTGGTTGTCACGCTGAGTGACAAAATCAAGGAGGCTTTTGCCTTCTGTTCCATGCTGTGCCTTGTCAACTCCACGGTCAATCCTATCATCTATGCCCTGCGGAGTGGAGAGATTCGTTCCTCTGCTCATCACTGCCTGGTAGACTGGAAAAAGCGCCTGCGGGGTCTTGGGCCTGAGGGGAAGGAAGAAGCCCCAAGATCATCTGTCACAGAGACAGAGGCTGATGTAAAAACCACCCCAGGCCCGAGTTCCAGAGATCCAGGCTGGTCAGATTGCTGAAGACACCTCTTTCCCAGTTGGAAAGGATCTAAGTCAGAAATCAATTTACTTCCTGGAGGAGAAAGCGGTCCCAGTCCTCAAATCTTTCTGGAATCAGTTCTAAAGTACTGGGACAGACCCCTTCTTGCTGAGGAGTGCTGGGGTTCATTATTGGAGGGTGACCTGGCCATGCCTGCCTGTAGAGTCTGTGGAGAGTGACCTGGTGTGTTGCTCAGAGCCTGGGACAGGCTCTGTTCACATCAGGTCAGGAAACCCTCCTGACAAGTGACTTAGTGACTTCATCCAGAGACCTGAGAAGCCAGAGCAGCCTTCAGAGGTAATGATGAGAGACTCAGAAGAGAGCTGAGAAGAGGGACTTGTTGGTCATGGGAGCTCAGGGTATCCTGGCCACTGAGGTCCCTGCCTGCAATTTCATCAATGTCCACATCTTCTGTGGCAAGGATTCCAAGGATGGCTGTCTTCCTGATGGAGACTGACAGCGAGACTATGACGGACCAGCTCTTGTTCCTGCTTCAATGTGGGGGACTCCACAGCTCTAGAGCTATGCAAGGCCCCACCTTCAGGCCACCCTTGTCCCTTGAGGACCAAGAATTGTGGTTGCTGAGGATCAAGGGTGTTGACTTACCTCTTTCAGAGAGAATAACAAGATATCAACTCAGAGTATCTTGTTGGGTAAGGGCCCTCCTGATATCCCAATAACCCTCAACATTCCCCTAGTCTCTAGGTCCTGGGGGACACAAAGCAGGGGCTGGGTTCACTGGAGGTACTGACCCTTCAGATACTTACACTGCGACTGACATCCTGCTGTGTGGTTCTACCAGGAGCAAGCAGCATCCCATTCTAACCCAGCTCCAGGAGAATGTGAGACACATCCACAAAGATTCTCTAGGTCCTAGAGTGTTCCAGTGCCACCCCAACTGCCCCCTTGCCTCTTCCGTGCTCTAGTCCTGCAAGATGAGCAGAGGGAGTTAGGGAGGGGTGACTTCCTGCTGTGAGCCAGGCACAGGCTGGCATTCCACAGGGTATAAACCCAGCAAGGACACAGTCCCATGCTTTGGGACGATCTCAGGATACCTGAATTATACCATCAGTGAGGCTACGTACCCATCAGAGGGAGGCAAGCGACACTGTTGGTGGCAGGAGGGGTAGCAGAGGAGTTCTAACCTGACCACTGAGGACCACAGACACAACTAAAGGAAAGCTATTAATTAAACATGTCTTTGTTTAATACTTATGAGACAAGGTGTCGGCTGTCTAGTCACTCTTCCATGCACATCTTAAATACTCGCCCGAATATGTGCTCAGTCCTGGATATCCAGTCATGAATGAAATACCTTATCTGGAGCTTGCAGTCTGCATTCTGATAAGAGAGCAAATAAAGCTGAGCCTGGTGACGTAGGCCTGTAATTCCAGCTCCCTGAGGGGCCTCTGAGACAAGATCATAAGTTCAAAGTCTACCTGAGCTATACATGGAATTCAAGTCCAGTCTGCTCAAGTTAGTGGGATACTGTCCCAAAATAAACAATAGAGAGGGGTTAAGCAGTTAAGAGCAGCAGACCTGGGTTCAGTTCCACAGCTATATGGTGGCTCCCAACTGTTTGTAACTCCAGTTCCCAGGGATCTGATCTGATGTTCTCTTCTGATCTCCATGGGCACCAGACACACATGGAGGGCACATACTACATATAGGCAAAACGCTTATATGCATAAAATAAAAATAAATAAGCCAGACCTTCAATCATAGCACTCAGGAGGCAGAGGCAGGTGGATTTCTGTGAGATGGAGGCCAGCCTGGGCTACATAGCAAGTTTCAGACCAGTCAATGCTACATAGTGAGACCCTGTCTCAAAATAAATAAATAAAGGAAAAAATAAATAAATTAGAAAACTCTTGTTTGTAACAAATGACATTAACTTTAGCTACTGAACCTCCCACATAATATCGGGTAACAAGAGAATTAAAACACAGCCTCCCAAGTGTTGGGATTAAAGGCATGCGCCACCATGCCCGGCATATATTTTTTTTTAAATTTGAGATAGGGCCTCATGCATTCATGTAGCCCAGGCTGGCCTAGAACCTGATATGTAGTCAAGGATGATCCTGAACTTCTGATTCTTCCTCTTTAACCTCCCAAGTGCTGGAATCACAGGTGTGTGCTACCATGTAGATCCCTGGGGTTTCTGAGCAGCCTGTTGGAACTGGCAAGATGCATGTTTGGTGCTCAATCTGTCCCAAAAAGAAATGAGATGAAGCAAGGTGTGGTGGCAAACGTCTTTAGTCCCAGCACTTGGGAGGCAAAGGCAAGTGGATCTCTGTGAGTTCAAGACTAGCCTGGTCTACAAAACGAGTTCCAGGTCAGTTGGGGCTACAAAGAGACCCTGTCTCAAAAAGAACAACAAAAAAATGTGATGAACAGCATTGAGGAAGACATCAGACATCAGCCTATGGCAGGTGCATGTACATGCACGCACACACACACACACAAATTTTAATTAAGTGCATTTCCACACTTTTTACCCCTCACCTTTTGCTGTCACACTCTACTGCATATGGTGACCTCCTTCTCCTCCTTCCCTTCCTCTTGTGAGACAGAATCTTACTATGCTGCCCAAGCTGGCCTCAAACTCCTGGGCTGAGACAATCCTCTGGCCACAGCCTCCTGAATAACTGGGGCTATAACCAAATGCAATGGGTTTGCATCTTGGTGAGTTTGAAGCTAAGGTAATCACAGCCAAGACAGAAGGACGGAGAAAGATGAATGACCAACAGCAGCCAAAGAGAAGGTGGAGTGATTTCCAAAGCAATGCCCTCCTCCCTGGAAGGAAGTGGGAGGATTCTATTCAGGGAGCTTATGCATATTCATAGAGGGTTTGGCTCATTCCTACACAAGCTCACTTAAGAAGTACATTCCTCAGAATGCTCAATTTAAGATCATGGTGCACATGTTTACAATATCTAAATGGAGCTGGAGAGATGGCTCAGCGGTTAAGAACACTGGTTGCTCTTGCAGAAGACCGAAGTTCGAATCCCAGCACCCACATGGCAGCTAACAACTGTCTGTAGCTCCAGTTTCAGGGGATCTGACAGCCTCTTCTGTCCTCCGTGGGCACTGCACAGCACCGGTACACTTACCTACATGCAGGCAATACATTCATACACTAAAAATAATAAATAAAATTTTAAAAACAAAGGATGAAAGGAAGGGATGAAATTCCCCAGTGCTGAAATTAAAGGCATGCACCATTACACCTGGCTTTTTCCTGCCTTTTTGGAAGAGGGCACCAGGCCCCCTGGAACTGGAGTTACAGATAGTTAGCTGCCATGTGAATGCTAGAATTCAAACTCAGGTCTTCTGCAAGAACAGCCAATGCTCTTAACCACTGAGCCATCTCACTAGCCCCAGGTTTTGTTTTTTTTTTTTTTAAGAGTCATCCAGGCTTAGTGTTTTAGACAATATTTCAACATGAACTTGCAAGGGAAGAAAGAGAAAATATCTCTTACTCTCTTATTACTTCCCAAATGAGGATGCACTTGGTTCTGTCAACACAGGCTCTAATCCCTCCAAGGTGCCAGGAAGGGTAGGTGGAGAAAGGCAGTTTCCACAGATTCTGGTCCCACCTTTGGGCCACACTGACCTGCTTGATTGTGGGGAATCCTGTGTCCTTCTCTGTGCCTTGATTTCCACCTCAGTATTTGCTGTGTTGTCTCAGGAACTATAGGGACTATTGTATCACGTGGACCATGTGACTTCTGACTTGCACACTTCCTGCAGTTGTGATCTGACCTCTAGATTGAGCATGTGCTAAGTGCATGTGCTAACCTGCCAGGAAAGGTTTGCAGACACTTCTGGGCAGGAGTCTCTTGACTCTCAATTTTATGGTCCTGGTAATCTAAAAATGTGCCTCAGGGACCACCTGTGTATGGGTCAGGGGTACATGTGTGTTTGCTTTTTGGTGTTGAGCACTGAACCCAACATAGGCAAATGCTCTACTCCTGAGCTATACCATAACCCCTAGGTCATGGTTTTTTACATAGATGCTAAACTCTCTGAAAATGCCTCAGGGGACTGAGGATGTAGCTCAGTTAGCAGAGTGCTTCCCTACCATGCCTGAAGCCCTGGCCTTGAACTCCACCACTTTGTAAAACCAGGAGTGGTAGTGTGCTACCCCTACCTGTAATCTTAGCACTCAGGAGGTGGAAACAGGAGGATCAGACGTTCAAGGTCATCCTAAACTGTAAGTTCAAGGCCAGCTGGAGCTGAGACCCTGTCTCAAAATAAAAATTAAATTAGCCCCCTGTGGTGGCATACTCCTTTACTTCCAGCACCTGTGAGGCAGAGGCAGGCCGATCTCTGTGAGGTAAGGGCCAGCCTGATGGTCTACATAGGGAGTTCCAGGCCAGCTGGAACCACAGGGAGACCCTGTTCTCCAAATACAAAAACAAAGTTTCAGAATTCCCAAAGCTAAGTTCAATAAACATTAGACAGGTGGAAATGACCATATTCGCTCTTCCTCCTTCAGCAGCCATTTTTCTCCCTTTCCCTATTGAGCTCCTTCCCATCATATTTCTCCCTTGTTATTTCTGCCAAGTCTGTTAGGGCACCCCCTCCAACCTCAGCGATAAAACCGCTCAGAAAGCTCCCATGGCTACCAACTGGCCACTACATTTAACGATCTGGCTTCAGCCTCTCCCTGAAGGATCGGTGCACCGATGTGGACTACTCCTGGTTCTCGGCACATCCGGGACCCCTGCAGGCAAGTCCTTGGGGAGGGGGCGGGGGGAATCCTTCATTTTGTTCAGTAGAACTTTGGAGCAGTCAACACCGCTTGGCGTCTTTCTCCCTTTCAACGCCAGAGGGCGCTCCAGGGACGGCTCCTGGGGGCGCTCGACGGGCGGCGGCCTTGACACCCTCCCCTCTGAGCCAATAGTCACTCAGAGGGGTGGAGCCACTCGCCGGCGCCTGTGTCTTAAGAGGGAGCGGCACCAGCGCGGAAGCGGAGATGTGGGCGCAGGGGAACAGGTCAGGGGCGATGGGCGCCGAGGTGCTGCTGCTGCTGCTGCTGCTGGTGGCCCACGGTGCTCCGCGCCGCTACACCCCGGACTGGCAGAGCCTGGACTCGCGGCCGCTGCCGGCCTGGTTCGACAAGGCCAAGTTCGGGGTGTTCGTGCACTGGGGCCTGTTCTCAGTACCTGCCTGGGGCAGCGAGTGGTTCTGGTGGCACTGGGAGGGCGAGCGGCTGCCGAGCTACCAGCGCTTCATGAGCGACAACTACCCGCCCGGCTTCAGCTACGCCGACTTTGGGCCGCAGTTCACGGCGCGCTTCTTCCAGCCAGAGCAGTGGGCCGAACTCTTCGAAGCCGCGGGGGCCAAGTGAGTGCGCTTCGGGCGTGAGTTGTGCATCCCGGAGGATGGAGAGTTGAACGCTGCACACCCGTCGTGGAGAAGAGAGTTGGGTTGGGGTTTAGCTAGAAATGAAGATTTCCGGGAGGCTTGATCTAGGCGACACCCAGTGTGTCCTCCAGTCGGGGGCCTGGAGTCTGGTCGCCGTCCAGATGTGGACCTTGAGGCGCCCTGCGGCTCGTTGGCTGTGGAGAGGAACTGCTGGAGTTCCTCGCAGCTCTGGTGTCTGATGGAAAGGAAAGGGAGGGAGTTCTGGGCTGTGCCCAATTTGGGCTGCAATATAGATTCTCCCGCACCTGTTCTTTGTGTCTTCCGGGAGAACTCGAAGGAGAGGTGGGGTTGAGAGCAGAGTCTTAGAAGTAAGTTTTGAAGGCCCTGGGTTACTCTGCTAAGCGAAGGAGTGTTACCTAACTTCTGGAACATGAGTGGGCGAATAGAAAAGTGGATGCGGGGAGCTCCTGCTCGTGGCTTAGAGCAGACATCCACCCTCACTTTGATTCCAACTCTGACGTTCTCCAGGTCAGTTTCTCTTGGACGTTGGACTCAGGGAAATTACAGCTGGCATTGAGTGTTTGCTGTTACCACTATGGGAATAAATAATAGCCATCTCTGACATCCATAACTTACAAATGAAAATCTGGTAGGCAGAAGCAGTCTTTTTCCAGACTCCCTGTTTTATGAATGAGGTGACTGGCCCAGAAGGAGGAGGAAACCTAATGCTTTAGACCACAGAGTTGTGTGCCTCCAAGATAAAGGCTCTTTCCACTGTACCCAGGCTCTGCAAACCATGCCCAGAAGGACTGTTCTTTTGCCTCATAAAAATAAGGCCCATGAGTGAGAAAGGGTTTTATATTTTTGAAGGACTATTTAAAAGAAGAAAAGGGGACTGGGAAATAACCCAAGTTGTCAGTAAAGTGCTTAACATGCAAGCAAAGTTAGAATCTCCAGCACTCACATAAAACTCTGACCATGGTGACACGTACTTGTAATCCCAGAGCTTTGGGGCTTGGGGGGATAGAGACAGGCAGATTCCTGGGGCTCACTGGCCAGCCAGCCTAGCCTAAAATGGGGAGAGCCCCAACTCCCCATGAGAGCCCCTGTGTCAAAACGCAAGGTAGCTGGACTTGATAGTGCACATGCTTTTAATCCCAGTACTTGAGAGGCATAGGAAGGCAGATCTCTGAATTGGAGGCCACCTACTCTACATAGCAGGACTTCTGGCCTCCACAAGTACATGCGTGTACACATACACACACACTAAGGAGGAGGAGGAGAGAAGATGATGATGAAACAATAGAGGCAGCAGTAGCAGCAACCACAGAAATGAATGTACATATAAGCCTAAACATGGCCCTGAGTCTGAAAGCTAAGGTGCAAGCCGTCCCTTGTTCCCCCTTCCCTCTGGGCCTCCAGCACCTCCTGTTCCTGAGTAATACCCACAAGGTAGGGTCACTGCAGCAGCATCCTGGGTGTCACTAATATAGTGACTCATTCCACTATGTTTCCTGTTGTTAAGTTCTCCCTGCCATGGGAGAAGCCTCAGAAAGGCTGGGCAAGTTCATGGTTGTGATCGCTGCCCACTTCTTTTGTTCTCATTTGGTTTTGATGTCCATAGGTATGTGGTCCTGACCACAAAGCATCACGAAGGCTTCACAAACTGGCCAAGTTCTGTGTCTTGGAACTGGAACTCTAAGGACGTGGGGCCCCATCGTGATTTGGTTGGTGAGTTGGGAGCAGCTCTCCGGATGAGGTGAGTGTCTGTGGACAGTTACTCTGCCATCTTTCGGATCCAGCGCTCTGGTTCCATCTGTCTTTCCTCTTGTTTGTTTGCTAAGTTTGCGTTTAGCCAGTGACCAGGTAGATGGGCTCCTGGCCTTTCCAGTATCTCTGTTTGAGACTTAGCAGTTTTCATAGGACCAAAGCAGACACCATAAGAAAAGTTGATGATTAGATGATAGATCTCCAGTATAGACCACAGTGTTCCAACTACAGGCTACAAAGGATTCCTTTTGGGAAGCCTTCCAGTCTATGGCCTTTTCCTGTATGTGATGGAGGACTGGGTCTCATCTTTCTCCTCCTTAGTGAACAGCACAGAGCTTTACAGGCCTGAGAGGAACTTTGGATAATGGTAGACCAAACTGGGGACTGAAAAAAAAAGGATAAAATAAGGAAGGAGTACACTCTATTTATGCTTCCTAACAGGAAGTAACTAGTCAGATATATTGCTGCATGCCTGTAATTCCAGCACTCAGGAGTCAGAGGAAGGAAGATCAAGAGTTCAAGGCTAGGGACTGGAGAGATTGCTCAGTGATTGAGAGCACTGGCTTTTCTTGCAGAGGACCTAGGTTCAGTTCTCAGCACCTGACAATCTTCCAAAACTCAGGTTCCAGGGGATCTAGGAACAGGGGATCTCTTCTGGCCTCCACGGTTTGTATATCCTGATGCACTTACATACATGCAGGCAAAACGCTCATACACAATGAAGGTTTTTTAAACAAGAGTTCAGGGGACTGGAGAGATGGCTCAGCGGTTAAGAACACTGGCTGCTCTCTCAGAGGTGCTGGGTTCAGTTCCCAGCACCCACATGGTAGCCAGTGACCATCTGAAACTCCGGTTCCAGGGGAATCTGACACCCTCTTCTGACCTCCTCCGGCTTTGCACAACACAGTTGCACTCACATGCATGCAGGCAATACAGTCATATACATAAAATAAAAATAAGTTTAAAAAAAAGTTCAAGGCCGGCTTTGGCTACACTGTGAGTTTGAGGCCAGTAATAGGCTTTAAGCCGTATCTGAAAAACAAAACAAAACACATTATTATTATTAATAATAACAATAAAACAAATTATAGAATAAGAATAATAAATTAATAGGAATTAATGTCTCATGATCGAAGGAGTAAGAATTGGTAGATAGAATGTGTTTTGGGTTTTGGTTCTGGCAGCTGAACACTGGACCTCATGCATGTTAAGCAGGTATTCTGCTGCTGAGTGCAGTAGTTGCTTTGTGTCATAGGATCACAGCCACAGCGCATTAGTTACTTTTGTGTCAGCGATCGCTATACCTGTTGGAAACAAAGTAAGGGAAGGAAGTTGGTTTTGGCTTATGCTTTCCAGAAGGTTTCCTTGCATCATGTTTGGGAATACATGGTGAGGCAGCTCGGTTCATGGCAGCTAGACAGTGTGGCAGAGGATGCCTACCATCTTAATACCCAGCTACAGACAGGATAACCTTCAAAGCCTGCTCCTAGTGAACTACTTCTGCCAGTTAGGCCCCACCTCCTAAAGTTTCCTCAGACTCCTGAAATAACATCACCATCAGGGGAACGAGCCTTCAAAACATGAGCCTGTGAGGAACATACCAATTTCAAGCCATAACACTGAGAGAGTTATGACTCCTCTGAGCCCCCAGAAATGGGATCTGAACCCAGGTATTCAGGCTTTGGGTCTGTTTGCCTCTAAGAAAGGAAGTGATATTTGTGCCACTTCTGCTGTGACTTGGTAAATGTGGCATCCTATTTAAGGGGTAGGCATACTGCCTGTTTGTGTAAATCATAGCCTGGTTGGAACCCAGCCAAGCCTGTCTCTTATGCACAGTCTAGGACTGCTTTCAAGGCATGAGTTGAAAGAAAGAGACCATAGTTTGCACAATCTAAAGAACTACCTGGACCTTTAAGAAAAAGGTTTCTGACTTTTTTATATTTTATTTACCATTTTTATTTTATGTGTATGAGTATATTACCTGCATGTATGTAAATGTACCCATGTCATGCAAAATTTGCTAATTTTTATTACCTTTTTAATGTTCAGTTCCCCATCTGTGCTTGGCCAGTAGTCCTGCTGTAAATGTCCATTAGATCTTAGATATGGATTAGATCTGGACTTCAGGAGCCTCTATTCTTTTCTTTTTGTTTAGTCTTATGAGACAGGGCCTTGCTATGTATCACTGACTATCTTGGAACTTGCTATAGACCAGGCTGGCTTTAGATTTGCATCAGTCCTCTGGGCTCTGCCTCCCAAGTGCTGGGATTACAGGCATGTGCCACCATACCCAGCTTTAGGGGCCTGAACTCCTTGTTTCTCTATATTTAATCCCTGGGTCATATGCTGAAATACCCAGCTTCAGTTAGATACTCGGTTCTTTCTTTTTAATTGTTTGTTTGTGGGTCTCCCTATAGCTCCAGCTGGTCTGGAACTTTCTATATGGTAGATCAGGCTTACCTCAGTCTCACAGAGATTCACCTGCCTCTGCTTCTCAAGGGCTGGGACTAAAGCTACACCTGGCCCTTAACACCATTTCCTAATTGAGCCATAATAATTGTACATGTTTATGAGGCACAGTATGATAATTGAATAGATATATACAGTGTTTATGATCAAATCAGGGTAATTAGGGTTTCTAGGTCCTTGATCATTTGTCGTTTCTTTGTGTTGGGAACCTTCAAACTCCTAGTTCTTCATTAAATATATAGTAAGAGTGGGCGTGGTAGTGTATGCCTCTAATCCCAGCACTTGGGAGGCAGAGCCAGGAGGATTTATGCAAGTCTGAAGTCAGCCTGGTCTACTTAGGAGTTCCAGGCCATCCAGAGCTACATAGGAAGACCCTGTATCAAAAAGAAATAAAATAGCCGGGCATGGTGGCACACACCTTTAATCCCAGCACTTGGGAGTCAGAGACAGGTGGATCTCTATGAGTTCGAGGCCAGCCTGGTCTCCATTAGTGAATCGAGGCCAGCTGCAGCAACAGGGAGACCTTGTCTCAAAAAGACCAAAATAATAATAATAATAAATAAATAAATAAAATTATATAATAGGGATGGGGTGTAGCTCATGATAGAATGCTTGCCTAACATGTATGATCCCCAGCACCCCAAAAGTAAAATAAGATTAAAATAAAATATACAGTAAGCCAGTGAGATGGCTCAGTGGGTAAAGTCATTTGCTACCAAGCTGATGACCTGAGTTCTATCCCTGGGGCACACATAGTAGATGGAGAGAACTGACTCTTGCAAATTTTCCTCTGACCTCCACACACATGCTGTGGCATGCATGTCCCCCATCTGTGCACATGGACAAACAAATAAATAAATAAGTAAAAAATATAGGGGCTGAAGAGATAACTCAGCTGTTAAGAGTACTGGCTGCTCTTGTAGAGGACCCAGGTTCAGTTCCGAGTACACACATGTGGCTAACAACCGTCCATAACTCCAGTTCCAGGGGATCCAACACCCTCTTCTGACCTCCAAGGGCATTGCACAACATGGGTACACCTACCTACAGACAAACAATGCACTCAATTCACATAAAATAAAAAAAAATATTTTAAGAAACAAATATTTTAATTACAAAAATGTAATTAAACATTTTTGTGAAATATACAACAAAGTTTTATAAACTATAGAAAGCCTGTAATGCTACGGAATGCCAGAACTTGTGCCTCCCAAGTAGCTGTTTTGGTACCTGGTACCCAACCTGCCTGTCCTCCCGACCCACCCGCCCTCATCCTCATCTCTTTTTCTTTTTTTTTTTTCCTTCAGTTAATAGGATCAGTTTAGCCGCTGTTCTTTTCCATAAATGGCATTTAAACAAGATGCACAAAAACACCAGCAGACGCCTCTAAACACAAAGGGCTTGTTGGGTGTGTATAGTACCTAGTAAATATTAGTTGAATTCATGAACAGACCTTGGATATTGATTAAGTAAAGGCTGTGAAACAGTTCCATACCGAAGTGTCCATTCTGTACGATCCTTATTAGCATCAGTTTCTCCATCTACAAAATTTGGTTAATATTTAATTTAAAAGTTTAGCATAGAGATGTAACATAGTACATGTTTTTAAAAATATTTTATTTATTATATTTATTTTATGTGTATGAGTGTATTGTCTGCATATATGTGAGCGCACCTGTGTCGTGCAATGCCGCGGAAGTCAGAAGAGGGCTTCGGATTCCCCTGGAACTGGAATTAAGGATGGTTCGTAGTCGCCATGTAGGTGCTGGGAATTGAACCTGGGTCCTCTGCAAGAGCAGTCACTGCTCTTAACTGCTGAGCCATCTCTCCAGCCCCCATATTACATATTTTAACAATTCTTTTTGTCTTTTTGCAACAGGATCTCCCTGTAGCCCCAGCTATCCTATGTAAAGCAGGCTGACTTTGAACTCACAGAGATCCGCCTGCCTCTGCCTCCTGAGTGTTGGGATTAAAGGCGTGTGCCACCATGCCTGGCATCTTGTAACTATTTTTCTTTTTTTTTTTAAATTTTTTAAAATTATTATTTTTTTATTTTATGTGTATGAGTGCTATATCTGTATGTAAGTAAGTGCACCCATGTTGTACAATGCCTGCGGAGGACAGAAGAGACTATTGGATCCCCTGGAACTGGAGTTATGGACAGTTGTTAGCTGCCATATGGGTGCTAGAATTCAAACCTGGGTCTTGTGCAAGAACAGTCAGTGTTCTTAACCACTGAGCCATCTCTTCAGCCTGTATTTTAACAATTTTTTTTTTTGGGGTCTTTTTGAAACGGTCTCCCTGTAGCCTCAGCTGGCCTAGATTCGCTGTGGAGACCAGGCTGACCTCGAACTCCCAGAGATCTGCCTGCCTCTGCCTCTGCCTCCAGAGTGCTGGGATTAAAGGTGTGTGCCACCATGCCCAGCAATTTTTTTTTTTTTTTTGGTCTTTTTGAGACAGGGTCTCCCTGTAGCCCCAGCTGTCCTGGAACCCACTATGTAGACCAGGCTGGCCTTGAACTCACAGAGATCCACCTGCCTCTGCCTCCCAAGTGCTGGGATAAAAGGCGTGCACCACCATGCCTGGCAAAACAGTATACGAAGTCCTTCGAGCCAGAATCGGCAACTATTTTTAAAAGTCCTTTTTACTGAGTTTTTGTGCACCCTTCCTCATCTTGAGTGACATAATTAAACCAAGACAGGCTATATTGTACATGAAAACACCAGAGGTCATTTTAACCACATTTTAAGTATGTAAACAACTAGTAATAAACATTAATACACAAAATAATAATTGCATATTTGTTCATTTCAATTATGTAGAAAGTGTTATAAAGATTATTTTGGAAGGATAATATTTTGAGCAATTTTTCATTTTTTTCCACGATACTTTTGTTTGATTTTTGTTTTTCCTTGTCTTTTTTTTTTTTTTTTTTTTTTTGTTTTTTTGGGAAAGGGGCGGGTCTCCCTGTAGTCCCAGCTGGCCTGGAACTTAGTATGTAGACCAGGCTGGCCTTGAACTCACAGAGTTCCACCTGCCTCTGCCTCCCAAGTGCTGGGATCAAAGGCGTGTACCACCACACCTGGCCTTTTCCTTGTCTCTTTTGAGACAGAGTCTCAAGTAGCTTAGGCTAGGATCAAACTCACTTGGTAGCCAAGGATTACCTTCAACTTCTGATCCTTCTGTCTCTTACCTCCCAAGTGCTGGTTGGACAGGCATGCACCACTGATTTTTCTTAAAATAAATGACTTTTTTTTGTTCAATGACAGTTGCTGCTGTATTTTTCTGTTTAAGGAACATACGCTACGGCCTTTATCACTCCCTCTTAGAGTGGTTTCACCCACTCTACCTACTTGACAAGAAAAACGGCCTCAAAACTCAGCATTTTGTCACTGCAAAAACAATGCCAGAGCTGTACGACCTCGTTAACAGGTAAGATGCAGGGGTGGTTGGGCCTGATAACTTTCATCAATGAAGTCAGAGCTGCCTGTAGGGCTCCAGAGGGGGAGGCTAGGCTGTATGAAAAATGTCTAGAAGATATCCAGGTAAGTGGTGTTTATATAAATGCAAAATACACTTTATCCTCCTGCTTCTCAAAACTTCTGGAATGTGGTCATTTGATAAACTGAAGCAGTCACATGAAACCCAGGAAGGCAGCAAGTCAAAACCTAGTCAGTACTAGGGGCTTCGGGCATCATGGTTACTCACAAGTTTTAAACTGAACAACCTTCTGAGCCTCAGATTCCCATCCTGTAAAGAGGGGGGTCATGATGTCTTCTGTGGCAGGCTCAGAATAATGTGTAAAATCCCTGTCACAGTGCTGAGTACTGAGGACAGAGCCAGGGTGCTGCCACTGTTGTTAGTGTCATTCTTTTTTTAATTTTTCTTTCTTTCTTTCTTTTTTTTTTTTTTTTTTTGAGACAGGGTCTTCCTGTAGTACCAGCTGGCCTGGAACTCACAAACTCACAGAGATCTGCCTGCCTTTGCCTCCTGAGTGCTAGGATCAAAGGTGTGTGCCACCACACCTGGCTACTTGATTGATTTATTTTTATTTTGTATGTATGAATGTATTGCCTGCATGTAAGTGCACCTATGTCCTGCAAAACCCAAGGAGGCCAGAAGAGGGTGTCAGAGTCCCTGGAACTGGAGTTACAGATGGTTATTAGCTACCATGTGGGTGCTAGGATTCAAACCCAGGTCCTGTGCAAAAGCAGCCAGTGCTCTTAATCACTGTGACATCTCTCCAGCCCCTGTAGTGTCATTCTTTTTGAGACAGGGTCTCCCCGTAGCCCCCACTAGCCTGGAACTCACTATATAGACCAGTCTGGCCTCAAACTCAGAGAGAGTCACCCGTCTCTGCCTCCTGAATGCGATTAAAAGTGTGGGCCGCCACACCCAGCTGATTCTTAAAATGATACTTTTAATTTGGAATTTGTTACTAGCCTTTGCCATGTTTTGTTTTACATTTATTTATTTTATTGTGTGTGTGTGTGTGTGTGTGTGTGTGTGTGTGTGTGTGTGTGTGTGTCTCGTGCATGTCGTGCATGTGAAGACAGCATCCAGATCATCAAGCATGCTGAGCATGTACTCTGCCAGGGAGCTGTACCCCAGGCCATGAGCATCACTTCTTTTTTTTCTTAAGTTATATTTTATTTATTTTGTGTACCTGTATATATGTATGTGTGGGACATGCATGTGCCACAGTGTACATGGGAGGTCAGAGAACAACTTTTGGAAATCAGTTCTCTCCTACCATGTGGGTACCAGGGATTGAACTCAGGTTGTCAGACTGACAAACACCTGTACCCACTGAGCCATCTCGTTAGCCCACTTCAGTTCTTTAAAACAGTGGCTCTGTTAGGAAAATGTTTGTTATCGCTTTCCTTTTCCACACTGTGATAATTTTATAGTACTTAAAAAAAAATTTTTTTTCAGTCTTTTTGAGACAGGGTCTTCTGTAGCCCCAGCTGTCCTGGATTCACTATGTAGACCAGGCTGGCCTCAAACTCACAGAGCTCCACCTGCCTCTGCCTCCCGAGTGCTGGGACTAAAGGTGTACGCCACCACGCCCGGTTAAAAAATTTTTTTAAGTTTATTTTTATGTTTTGCCTGCATGCATGTAAGTGCGTTCATGTCATGCAGTGCCTGAGGAGGTTAGAAAAGGGCATCAGATCCCCTGGAACTGGAGTTATGGATGACTGTTAACTGCCATGTGGGTTCTGGGAACCAAACCCAGGTCCTCTGAAAGAGCAGCCAGTGCTCTTAACTGCTGAGCCACCTCTCCAGCCCTTTTTATGGTGCTTTCAAATCAAGGGATTTCTTTTTCTTCTTTTTCTTTTTCTTGAGTGCTAAAGACAGAACCCACTTGGATAGTAGGCAAGAAGTTTACCATGGAGCCACACTCCCAGCCCTAATTTTTAAATCTCTGCTGCAAAATCAGTCCATAAGACTGAACTCGATGTAGATTCAGATAAGAAGCTCTTCTGTCACATGTCTTCCAGGTACAAGCCTGATCTGATCTGGTCTGATGGGGAGTGGGAATGTCCGGATTCTTACTGGAACTCCACGGGTTTTCTTGCTTGGCTCTACAATGACAGCCCTGTCAAGGTCAGTGATCAGCTAACTTTTTTTTGGGGGGGGGTCTCCCTGTAGCCCCAACTGTCCTGGAACTCACTATGTAGACCAGGCTAGCCTTGAACTCACAGAGATCCACCAGCCTCTGCCTCCCAAGTGCTGGGATTAAAGGCGTGTGCCACCACACCCAGCCAACTCGTTTTTTATTTACTTATTTTTATGTGTATGAATGTTATACCTGGTTTGTAAGTGTGCCTGCATTGTTCAGTGCCCTCGGAGGACAGAAAGGGCATCAGATCCCTTGGAAATGGAGTTACAAGTGGCTGTTAGCTACCATGTGGATGCTGGGATTCAAACCTGGGTTTTCCACAAGAGCAGCAAGTGCTTATTTTTTTATCAGTTATGATTAAAAAAAAAAGTATGACTGGGCAAGGTGGTACCTCCCTATAGTCTCAGCTTACAGTAGGCTGAGACAGGAGGAATTCACAGCAATCCTGTTTTAGCATCCTGAGTGCTGGGATTACAGAAGTACAGCATTACTCCCAACCTTATATCCAAAATTTTAAGGGTACTTGGCCAACCCCAAGCCCCTCCCCATAATCAGGATTCTGGCCAGTACACAAACTGCCCTCTTATACCTTGTGTTCTGGGACTTTCACTGATGAAAGAAATTTTAATCTTTACTGTAGAAAATTTCAAAGGTTTTATTGTCGAACGTCCCCCAAGCCCACCAGGCTTGGGTCTTCAACAAGAAAGAAACTCAGACAAAAGTCTGAAGTTTTCTGAGGAATTTATTTAAAGGAACACAGTTACAGGTAGGGGAGTGATTACAGGATGGCTTTTTGTTGTGGGGATCACAGATCTTATATAGGACTCAGATTTGGGGTAACCAAGGAATCTTCAAGGAATCACCATAGATATTTTACTAACAGAAAGTAACTACGGACGCAGCACATTGCTGCATTACCTCACCAATTCCAGTGCCCGAAGACCAAACCAAAAGTAAGTTTCTAAGAGACCTGATTCATCATGGAGGCACAGCCTGTCAGCTCAAACTGCTGAAGCGGAGAGCTCAGAAGCTCTTAAAGAGGCACTCTACTTTTACCAATGCTTAAGTCAAGCATGGCTCCCGACATTTTATATGTTCTAGATTTGTAAATTTTGAAATATTTTATTATATTTTATGTGTATGTATACTGCCTGCATGTATGTTACTGCACCCATGTCACGCAATGCCTGAGGAGGTCAGAAGAGGGTGTTGGATTTCCTGGAATCAAAATTATAGACAGTTGTTAGCCACCGTGTGGGTGCTAGAAACTGAACCCAGGTCCTCTATAAGAGCAGCCAGTGCTCTTAATCCCAGAGTCATCTCTCCAGCCACTAGATTTGTAGATTTTAATGAAAAATCTTAAGTAAACATCAGTTTGGTAGTTGGAGGTATGGCTCATGGTAGAGCAGTGCATGCTTAGCATGCATGAGGCCCTCCCTGGGTTCAGTTCCAGCACCAAAAGTCAGTTTGGGTGCAGGTACCCTAGTGGATTGGTATCTCTCTGAGGCTCTTGTTGGCTTAGCTATTTATTGAATCGAGAAAAGGCGAAGAAAGGGGAAAGCAGAGACGCTACGTGACGAATGCAGATTGGAGGTGCTTTTCCCTGGACTGGAGCAGAGTTGCCATAGCAAAGCACTTTTCAGGCACATGCACTTAGTCCCCAGCACTGAAAAAAAAAATAGTGATTTTCAGGGCCTGTTGCCCCTTCTTCCACATAGACTGCTCCCCTGCAGAACTACACAGCAGCTCAGTGGGGCTGCTCAGGTGACCCCTCCTGCCTCCTCCCTTAGGATGAGGTTGTAGTCAATGACCGCTGGGGTCAGAACTGCTCCTGTCACCACGGAGGATACTACAACTGTCAAGATAAATACACACCACACAGCCTGCCAGACCACAAGTGGGAGATGTGCACCAGCATCGACAGGGCTTCCTGGGGCTATCGTCGTGACATGACCATGTCTACCATCGCCAGCGAGTCTGAAATCATTGCGGTAAGGGTGCTCTGCACTAGTTGTTAAACTATTTACCTCAGACCAACCCAAGAGAGAGAGAAGGGTCCTAATGGAGGTACAAGTCGGAGCCCTCCAGGGTTGCCAGAAGAGGGTGTCAGATCTCCTGAGCTAGAGTCAAGGATGGGTGTTAGCCACCATGTGGGTGCTGAGAACCAAACCTGGGCTCTCTGCAGGAGCAGCCAGTGCTCCTAACTGCTGATCCATCTCTTAGTGTCTCCCCTGCCCCCAGGAGTATATGGGTAGTTTCAATTTCTTGCAACCATGATGGGATAATTAAGTGCATTTGGGGGTTCTCCTTAAGCATTGTGATGCTGATGAGTTGGCTAGGGGTTAATGCTCAGGTGGTGGAATGAGGGGGTCACATGCAGTTGCAGCTGTGTAAATTAACTGCGTAGGAGGACTGGAGAAGAGACATCAAAGGGTAATGGTGTGGTGACTTTTGGAGTCTCTATTGGATTCTCTTCCTTAAATTACTCTGAATGTGAACTAAGTCCTTCTGGGCACTTGCCTGAGGTCACAATGAACACCTCCACACAAGTGCTACTCTATAAAGCCTTCGGAATATGTCTCTTTATAGCAATTCTTGTTTGTTGAGACAGAGTCTCATGTAGCCCATGTTAGCCTCAAACGCCTGACCTTCTTGCCCGTACACTTCCAAGCGCTGGTGTTCCAGGTGTGCCAGCACACCCAGCTTTCTTTATAACAATTTTCCTGAAGGTGTATGTGAATGTTCACACATGTGGCTCATTCCAGAATGAATGTCCTGAAATTTACTGCTCTTCTAGCCCCTCAATGTCTCCTCAGAAACCATGCAGTTTCTCCTTTCTGATCCCTGTGCCCTTGTCAGTAGTCAGTCATCCCATGATTTCATTCCTTCCCTTCAAGGACAAGTGTTCTCAGCTTTCCTGGTGCACCTCATGCTTCTGGGAGAGGGCTCTCCCCACCACATCCCACACCAAAAGTACAGTCTCAGGAGGGCCCACACTGGAGTTCCTGTTGATGTATTATCTCCATCTTTCAGCAACGTCTCCAGCCTTCTTCCCTCCCTTCCTCCCTTTTTGTTTTTTTTGGTAGCAAGATCTTTCAAGTTAGTTAGTTAGTTAGTTAGTTAGTTTGTTTGTTTGTTTGTTTGTTTGTTTGTTGAGACAGAGTCTCTAGTAGCCCAGGCTGGCCTTGAAATTCCCTTTGTAGCTGAGAATGTCTTTGAACTCCTGATCCTCCTGCTTCTGCTTCCCAAGTGCTGAGGTTGTAGGTGGGCATAACTATGTCCAGCTCAGTTTTATCATATGAACCTGCTGTGCTTTTATAATGGCAAGAGGAAAATACAGAGCTTTCTTTTGTTTTTGTTTTTTTAATATATTTTTTATTTATTTTATGTATATAAGCGTATTGCCTATATGCATATAAGCGCACCTGTATTTTGTAGTGCCCACAGAGGTCAGAAGAGAGCATCAGACTCCCCTGGAACTGGAGTTATAGAGGGTTGTTAGCTGCCATGTAGGTGCTGGGAATTGAGCCTGCATCCTCTGCAAGAGCATTCAGTGCCATCTAAGCATGTCTCCAGCCCCTCTCTTCTCTTAGCATCTGTGTATTCCAAACCTTGTGTCAGACTTGACATGTGCTCAGCTTTCCTTGTTTCTACCCTCTTTAGGAACTGGTTCAGACAGTAAGCTTGGGAGGGAACTATCTTCTCAACATTGGACCAACTAAAGATGGACTGATTGTTCCCATCTTCCAAGAAAGGCTTCTTGCTGTGGGCAAGTGGCTGCAAGTCAACGGGGAGGCCATCTATGCCTCCAAACCATGGAGGGTACAGTCTGAAAAGAACACGACATTCTTGTGGTGAGTCTTACCTTCTTCTCTATAGTCCAGAGATAAGATCTAAGATAGCCATCTTTCAATTTGAATGAGTGCAGTTATTAAGTATAGAGCAATTCAAATAAAAGAATAAATTGCAAGAGAGGGGTAGGTAGGTAGATGGGTAGATGGGTGGGTAGGTGGATGGGGGAGGAAGGGAGAGAGAGAGAGAGAGAAAGAGAGAAAAGAAGCATCATCAAATTGGGTGCTCAGAACATCCATCAGAAATCGATTGGGGGAAGCCCCTTTCAGGCAGGGAGCTGGAGTTCCTGATCCTGAGAGTCCTGGGCAGATCAGAGTGCCCAATTAGGGGCACAGCTTATCCCCAGACAAGGGGCCTTGGAGGACACTTTGAGACAGATATACCTGGGGGGAGGGCACTTCCTGAGCCTGCTTCTTAGTGAGCTTAAATGACACATGACAGTTTACTGTGGTAATGTGCATTGCACTTCTGATGGGTGCCAGCACGGGACTGTAGCTCTTACTGACTTGGTACATTCTTGGGCCCTGGTCATAAGCCAGGGTGGAGGCTGTCTTGTCTTATTGCTATAAAATTTGTGTCCTAGCTGGGTTATGTCTTTGGTCACCATGTGCAGGGCTTCATTCTAAATTCTTTCCTTCATACCTGGATTTCCAGATCCAGTTATTTTATCTTGCACTTCAGTTTTGTGTTTTGTTTTGTTTTGTTTTTTGTGGTTTTGAGACAGGTCTCCCTGTACCCCCAGCTGACCTGGAACTCACTAGGTAGACCAGGCTGGCTCAAACTCATAAAGTCCACCTGCCTCTGCTGGAATTAAAGGCATGCGCCACCATGCCCAGTATGCCTCAGTTTTTTCAACTGTAAAATGAGGCCACTATACCTAGCTTCACAGAGTTTTGAAGGCTAAATGAGGTAATATTTGGGCTCACCCAGCATGAGCTAAGCCAGAGGTGACTGTTGGTGTCACACCAAAGGGCTTCTCTCTTTCATGTGTAGGAGACACATTCATCCTTCAGGATGAATGTCTGTGAAGTGATCATCATCTTTTCCTGGATGTGGTGAAATCTCAGGCCAATGACTGTCTTCATTGTGCATCTTTCCCATGTTACATCTTCTGTCATTTACTCATGGATTTGGAGTTGAAAAAATTTGAATAAAAAGTTACATGGCTTCAGTACTCAACTCAGGCAGTAATTAATATTGTAACTAGAGCAAGTGTTCATATTCCGTTATTGCTGCTGTTTGAGTTGGTGTCTCGACATGTTGCCCAGGTTGTCTGTCCCCAAACTCCTGGGCTCAAGCAGTCCTGCCTCAGCCTCCTTAGTAACTTGGATTACACATGTGCATCAATATACCCAGTTGGAGGTGGGTTTTGTTTTTTTTTTTTTTGGTTTTTTTTGAGACAGGCTCTCCGTGTAGCCCCAGCTGTTCTGGAACTCACTATGTAGACCAGGCTGGCCTTGAACTCACAGAGATCTGCTTGCCTCTGCCTCCCGAGTGCTGGGATTAAAGGCATGCGCCACCACGCCCGGCTTTAATTTATTATTTTTATTGTGTGTGCATGTATGCGTGCAGAAGATGGAAGAGGCATTGGATCCCCTGGAACTGGAGTTACAGATGGTTGCTAGCCACCATATGGGTGCTGGGAATCAAACCCAGGTCCTCTGCAAGAGCAGCCAGTGCTCTTAACCACTGAACCATCTCTCTAGCCCTTACTTATTTTAAGGCAAAGTTTATTGAGAAGTAATAGCTCCCTGCAGCAGCAAGGGGCCCAGAAAATGAGTTGCCCAAGAGTTAATGTTTAAAGAAACTTTAGGGCCAGACATGGTAGTGCATGCCTTTAATCCCAGTTCTCATGAGGCAGAGGCAAGAAGGATCTCTGTGAGATCAAGGCCAGCCTGGTCTACATAGTGAGTTTCAGGCCAGCTGGAGCTACAGAGAGAGAAACCCTATCGTTAAAAAAAAAAAAAAAAAAAAAAAACCCAGGCATGGTGGCACACTCCTTTAGTCCCAGCACTCAGGAGGCAGAGGTAGGCAGGTATCTGTGAGTTCAAGGCCAGCCTAGTCTACATAGCGAGTTCCAGGACAGCTGGGACTACAGGGAAGCCTTGTTTCAAAAAGACCAAAAACAAGGCAACAAATCAAAATAAAAACAATAAAGAAACCAGAAACCTTAAGAACCCAGTGAAGGGGAGTAACAGAGCATAGAGGACCTCTCACAGTTTTATAGACCACTTCCTTCCCGAGCACCTCCATCTGCACTGAGTTACTAGTGCTTCCTAGTGGCAGGGGCAAACACAAGGTCTTAGATTTGTGAGTTATTTAAAGGGGAGACAGGATGGTTTAGCAGGGTACAAGCCATGTGTCTGACAGTGACATTGCCTTGTCTCCCAGGTATACCTCTAAAGAATCAGATGTTTATGCCATCTTTCTGCACTGGCCAGAAAATGGGATCTTAAACCTTAAATCTCCCGAAACCACCTCTTCTACAATGGTAAGGAGCCTTAGTCCTTTCAAA